GTGGGAGAGAGACCAGAGATCCACCGGAGAGGTGTTGCATTGCACATGGACAGTCTTATGTCCTAGGCTGAAAGCTTCCCTTGGAGGTGTGAGGAGACTCTCCAGGACTTCACAGGGAGAAGGTAATAGGACTGTCAACTGGCCCCTGAGGTAACATGGACTATGCTGCCGCTGTGAGGAGACTGGCTAGGGTCTCCTACAAGAGTCCACCAGAGAAATGGAGAGGTCTGGGGCTGCAGGGCAGGGGCGCAGAGTCCACAGAGAAGGTCAGGAACACAGCAACGCCTGGGGGCCGTGGGACTAGAGGGCAAGGGGACGCGCGAGTCTACCCCAACCTCCCTAATGAGCTCAGCTGTTGGGGGTGGGAAGGAGAAAGGCCTGCTGGTCTGTCCTGAGAAGCAGCGTCATGAAATACCCAGTCGGCGAGCTCTCAGAGCGCCGTCAATGTCTGTGTGCACGGCAGACCCGCCGTGGCTCCACGGCAGCCAACAGCAGGCTCGGGCTTCGAGAACCATGGCCTGAGGTCGGCATGCAATGAACACGGGAAGTATGTCATAGCTGCCGCCCAACCAGAAGCCACATCCATGAAGGGAGGTTCAAACATCAGTGCTGAAGCCCACATTCCCTGTCCAGAAATTCAAGGTCCAAAGCCAAAACTTCTCAGGACAACCCCATTGCTTTCTATGTTCATATATATGTAAATACTTCAAGTTTTGCAAAAATCTAAATGACTCCAAAGAAATTATCTAATGTCCAAACCAAAACTTGGGGATGTTGTAGACATTCTGTCCATGAGAATGCCGCCCTTCCCTGTTGACAACTGTCCCGTCGGGACACACAGCCTCCCTGTGTCCATCTGGGAGCTGTCTCACTGTCCCACTGGGAAACACAACTCCTTTGGGGCCAGCAAGGTGGAATTTTTCTGAAGAATACATTATTTTTTTTATGTATGTTAAACTGAATTTATTGAGAGAAATAAAAACAATGTTTCATTCTGACAAATTATGTAACTAAGGTTTGCAGATAGCATGCAGAACACCAAGTTCAACGTGAATTTCACATAAATGATGAAAACTTTTCAGTGTAAATATGTCCCAAATATTGTATGGGATGTGCTTATACTAAAATAATAATGATAATAAAAAAATAAAAATTGTCTATTTGATACTCAAATTTAATTTAATTATTTTATTTGCTACTCTCACAATTGCACTTACAACCAAAGTTTAGGGACTTACACGTCACATGAAAAAGATGTCTGGGAGTCTGCGTGCTGTATTCCTCTGTTCCAGCCAAGACGCAGACAACACCCTGTATCTGCACATCTGGCAAACATACCCTCCTAAACAGGGACGTTGGTGGGTCACGTAGCTACTCAGACCTTGTCTACGATGCCTACCCCACCCCATCAAGAACCAATATGCATAGCTGACCTTTGCATCCCACTATCATTTTTCTTTTGGTCTTTTCTTCCTTTCCTGTCTTTTTAACAACCTTTTGCTTTCTTCATGGATGATGTTCTTGATGTCATCCCACAATTCCTCTGGTTGTCTGTCACTGGTGTTCAAGGCATCTAACAACTATAATTTTTTATTAATACTTGAACGTCTTGCTCCAGGCCAAGGGATCTACTAGGTCTCGTTGTTGTTGTTGCTGTTGTTGTAGCTGTTGGGTGTCATCGAGTCAACCCTGACTCACAGTGACCTCGTGTATAACAGAATGAAACACTGCCGGGTCCTGTGCCAGCCTCACAATCCATGTTATACCTGAGCCCATTATTATAGCCATTGAGTCAGTCCATCTCGTTGAGGGCCCTCCCCTTCTTCATTGACCCTCCACCTTACCAAGCATGATACCCATCTCCAGGGAATGGTCCCTTCTGACAACATGACCAAAGCAGGTGAGACAAAGTCTGGCCATTCTCACTTCCAAGGGGTGTTCCGGCTGCACTTCCTCCAGGACGGATGTGTTTGTTGTTCTGGCAGTCCATGGGACTCGCAGTATTCTTCGCCAGCACCACAGCTCAGAAGCATCAACTCTTCTTTTGTGTTCTTTATTCATTGCCCAGCTCTCATGTGCATATGAGGTGATGGAAAACACCATGGCTTGGGTTAGGTGCACCTTAGCCTTCAAAGAGACATCTTTGCTCTTCAGCACCTTAGAGAGGTCTTTTGCAGCAGATGTGCCCAGTGCAATACGTCATCTGATTTCTTGACTGCTGCTTCCATTGGTGTTGACTGTGGAACCAAGCAATATGAAATCTTTGACAACTTCAGTCTCCTACATTTATTGTGATACTACTTATTGATTCAGTTGTGAGGATTTTCATTTTCTTTATGTTGAGGTGTAATCCAAACTTCAGACTGTAGTTTTTCATCAATAAGTGCTTCGAGTCCTCTTCACTTTGAGCAAGCAAGGTTGTGTCATCTGCATATCTCAGGTTGTTAATGAATCTTCCTCCAATCTTGATGCCACCTTCTTCTTCAGATAGTCCAGCTTCTCTGATTATTTGCCCAGCATACAGATTAAGTATGGTGAAAGGGTACAACCCTGACACACTCCTTTCCTGATTTTAAACCATGCAGGGTCCCCTTGTTCTGTTTGAATGACAGCCTCCTGGTCTATGTACAGGTTCCTC